CCATCCACCCCATGGATCTACTGGAGCCTGACCAGCAGGTCACCATCCACCCCATGGATCTACTGGAGCCTGACCAGCAGGTCACCATCGACTGCAATGATCTAAGTTTAACAGGAGTCTGGTTGATCAAGCAGCTTTGTGGTGTCCTACCGATCCCGGGGTGTCTGATCTGGGGTTTCCAGTGGACCTCCAGCAGTCTGATTTTCGCCTCGTAGTGGATAATGTTTTTTTTTTCACCTCTGTGAAGATCTCTTCCGCAGCAACACTCAGCCGCTCTCTGATAAACTCTCTCAGCTGCGCAGAAGAAGACATTGGGTGTGAAATAATAAAACAGAAATCCAGTAGAGTTGATGCTGCTGAAGCCTTTTGTGTTACTTCCGCATTTAGTCACTGTGAGAGGAAACAGCTACTTGGAGCATTTACTGCCCCATGTCAGTCTGGAGTGGAGAAGCAGAATAAAGACCATCAGGGGTTGCTTCTCTAAAGCTTTTTTTAGGCTCATCTGCGGGATCAACTGGGCAGACAACTGGGATAAATACATTCCACGCAAATATTATGATCTTTGAAAAAAAAAGTAAATAAAAAAAAATTCATGAGCCAGGTTACAATTATACATGAAAGTGCGGATGAAAATTATGTTTATTTTTGTCAGTTAAATTTCAATTGTTTTTTCACAATAATGCACAAAAGTAAAGTAACATGTAAGAATATTTCCTGTTGTTAATCTGCAATGTTTTCCAAGCATCAGCTCCCCATAAATCTGATGGACAAGCAGAATAAAGCATAGATGGATAAAATTATCTCCATATTCAATTAAATAAACAGCAGTAGTCTGCTGTTGAACAGGGCAGAAGTCAATCATCTTTTCTTTTATAAATAAAGAATCCTAAGGTAAAAATTCAATATAATCTGATTAATGGGACATGTGTTAGAAAACACACTCTTCCTGTCAGGTATCCATGACACTGGAGAAGATCCAGGTGCACTTAGCCAAACAGGAAGCATGTTTAAAGAGGATTAAATCATCAGGAGATGAACCAAAACTTGACGTTAATTCCGGTTTTATTTTACATTCAAACATAGGCTAATCCATTAATGTAATAGGTGCTAAGAAATCATCAGCTGTGGTTTTTGTTTCAACTCTAAGAAAAGATAAATTTATTATAAAATTATAAGCTGCTTGACAAAAAAAAGGAAAAAGTGTTTAGAAATGGCTTAGAAATGTTAGATATTAATAGATAAGATATAAAGTTAATTTTAAGAAATAACAAAAATGCCACATATGTAATCATGAGAAGGACTGTAGGTTGTTCAGAGGAGTTGTGTGCCAACACAAAGAAGATAAGCTCTCAACTGGTAGATAACTTATATATATATATATATATATATATATATATATATATATATATATATATATATATATATATATATATATATATATAATTATAAGTAAGAGCAGCAGTGGTGCCATTGTTAATAGAGCACTGGGGGCTGTGACCCCCAAACTGGGAGAGTGGCTACAGCAGATTCCAGGTAAAACATCAGAGGTCTCTGTCCAGAAGAGTGCATGCCTAGGAACAGCTTAAATACTGCGCAGAACCCTCAAACTCCCAGGTCTCTACCAGAGGCAGGGAAAACCAAGGAGCTAGTGGTGCACTTTGTCAGAAGCATCCAGGGAACGAACATTGACATAGTGGACTCTTCTAAGTACCTGAAGAACAGATTGGACTGGACTCCCAACACCGAGGCTCTGGATCAGAAAGGTCAGAGCAGACTCTTCCTACTGAGGGGCCTTCTAGCATCAACCATCTTCTATGGAGCTGTCTGTTCGAGCAGTGGCTTATCTGTAGCAGAGAGAAAGCGGCTGGATCAGCTGATCAGGAAGGCCAGCTTTGTGACTGGATGCCCTCTGGACTCAGTGCAGGAGGTGGGAAACAGAGGGATCCTAACTAAATGAAAATCTCTGTTGGATAACATCTCCCACCCCATGCATGAATCTGGTGCTGAACTGGAGAGCTCCATCAGTGACAGACTGCTGCACCTTAAATGCACCAGGGAGCGTTATCACAGATCCTTCCTCCCAGCAGCTGAATGACTCTAGAACCACCACTGTTCCCAGCAACCTCAACAAGTTGTTCCATTCATGCTGATTATGCACAGTTTCTACCTTAGTTAGTTAAATAATATGCTACTGTCATTTTGCACATCTCTGATGTTGCTGCTGTTTTCAAATATCTATTACAGTAAAAATGTCCATAGGTGTATATTGGTTATTACAGTTTTATATTATTAAAACCATTTACAGTATTTAATGGTTTATCTTTTAACTCTTCACTATTTATTACTATACATTTTTCTAAGGTCCACATTTGTGTGACCATTTTTTCTTTAATCTTTTTGCTGATGTAAACACCAGAATTGCCTCATTGTGGGACAAGACAGGTATATTCTGTTCTATTCTATTTTTTTTTTTGGCCCACTGTGTATTTGAGTTTGACCGCACTACACTAGAGCCAACAATGAGAACATTGATATGAGTTTTTAATTACATTCCAATTTGTTTCTGAATTAAGTGTTATGTCAATAAGTCAAACCATTGTGTGTTTTTTAAATATTCCTTTGCTCCAACAACCGTGACCTTGAACAAGGCCCCAGTCTTAATCCTGACACCTGAGCTGATCAAATGATTCAGTGAGGGGTTGATCCTGGGATAAATAAAGATTTAAACAATGTTCCATCCTTGAACCAAGAGCAGGAAATCAGGGTTGATCCAAGCAGCTAATCTCTGCTGTATAAAGACCAAGCAGAAGTGGTTGCCCCATCACACTGCAGTGGACACACCTGAGAGGTAGGTCTGAGCTTGTGCTTAATTGAAATCTGTTTCACAAAATAAAGAAAAAAAACGAAAAAAAAAAAACAGGAGGTTTATTTTTTGTGAAAAGGTCTTGACTTTTCATAACCACATGATCACTTCTTTTTATTGCAGAAGATAAAGGGTCAGAAATTATGTGAAAAATTATATTTTACCCACACGTAACTGTTGAAAATATGAATGACCTTGTTTTGTTTTTATATTTAGAATGATGGCTCAAGAAAAACAGGGGTTCTCTCTGATGATGTGTTTTTTCCTTGGCACCTCTTCAATCATTTGGTGCCTGCCCCCAGCAGGTAATAATAATAATAATCATAATAATAATAATAATAATAATAATAATAATAATAATAATAATAATAATAATAATAATAATAACTGCAACAACCTATTGTACTATAAATGATCAAACCCATGAATAAGTTTTAGATAAATGTTAGGAAAAAATAACGTAACTTAAGAAGTTTGTCTCAGTAGGAGTCATGACAATTGTATCCCATATGGGATAAAGCAGAATTTGGAAAATTAACCAAAAAACAGATAAGCCTGCTGACATTAGTGTGTATTCCCTTAAACTGCCACACTTTCAACACACAATTACTGTTTTACTTCTGTTCTTAACTCCTCCTTTGATGCAATTCTATCATCCTCATACTTACCTTCCAAAAAGATTTCCACATCTCTCGCCTGTGAAGAGAAATCTTCGAGTCGATATTCTGTCATATGTAGATCTGGGGTTTAGGATTATTTTTCTCTCATAAACATATTTGTTTATTTACTTGTGTATGTGTTAGGGTTAACTCTCAAATTTAACCCTCATTTAAGGGATGTAAAAACAATAATTAGCATTTTCTTTTTCCGTCTGTACCTTAATACAATAACATAATGTGTTTTTTTTTTTATAGACTCTCTATAAATAAATGTCAGGAAAACACTACCACAAGCTCAACATAAAGTATAATTTAAACCTTAATATATTGTCCTCTAAGTCCCTGTAATGGTAATCTAAGTGTTAATGAGATGACTTAGTGGTCTGTCATCTTCCTCGATTGGGTCTGCTTGTAAACCACCCTTAAAACTTTCTGTGCCACTGATCGCTGAAAGATAAAGATAAACAGATTTAGGGCAGCCCAAGGTAAGGCTATGGGCATTAATAGCCACTTGCCTTCTACTGCAATCCCTTAGGGGATTATAGAACAGCGATTTATTTTAGAGGTTTATAGCATGAGAGAGCCTGCGAAAAAGGCAAAGGCATTTACTGCATGGTGAGAACTCAAACAAAAATAAGGATGAAAAATTAATGCAGATGTGTTATCATTGTGACCTTACAGCGTGCTACTATAAAACATGGAGAAGCCAACATACCTTTTGAGAGGGAATATAATTATTTTTTTTATATTAATTGTTGTGATTAAGGTAATTTTCAGTCAGACATCTGGTTTTCATTAGAGGAGCACAGGTTTGGGAATTTGGGGAATTGATCACCAAAATCAGCATCTGCTGATCAACAATTCAAGCATCAAATACATAAATTCTTCAACACGGTTGTCTCATGCACATTAGGCCTATCATTGTTTTATTAAATATAATAATTAGGAGAAGAGAAAGTATCATGAACTGAGCACTGTTTTAGTGAAATAGGTAGCAGACATGAGCTGTATTTAAACAAAATGGAAGATAGAGAAAATCATTTTGACAAAGGATAAAGAATGCTCTTAAGAGGTTTGTGAGGGGCTTTTAAAAAAGCCGTTTTAATTTAGTCCAAGAAGGAGTGTTCGTCTTTCTGACTCCAGTGCAGACAGAGCCTCATGCTCTGCATGCTCCTAAAGCAGTTAGCCTCTACAGGGTAGCCTCGGCCTGCTGCTGCCTCTTCTTGCTTTGTTTGCCTTCGGGCTTCTTCGAGGTACCACAGTCCTCCTCATGGTCAGCTACAGCCCATCTCCTCTGCCTTTAGAGCCCTGTTTTCCTGGCAACCTATCTTATGTACAGTTGTGCTATTTGGAGCCTTGGTAGTTAGCTTCTATAGCTAGCCTTGGTCAGTGGTAGCCTCTCCCCTGCCTTCAGTGCTCAGTTTCCCCGGCAGGCTTCTTCGATCCCCCACTGTGCTCCTCTGCTTTCTTCCTAAGCTACTGCTGTGGTTCTTTGGTTCCAGAGGGGGGGACAGCTGGCTGCTTCATCCCGGATGGAGCTCTCTCAGCCGCTGTTCTTGCACTGATTTGCACACCTTCCCTCTGGTGTTCTGAGTAATTCACCTCCCTTTTTTGGGTCAACAAACATGGACCAAGCAGTAAAAAGTGGTTTACATAGATAATAAAAAAACAAAGCATAGATATAGATTTAAATTGCCCAGGTCAGATTTACAATCTCTACAGCCACTAGTTTGTCAGCTCTGCGCTGCGGTAGCACAAAGATGTCTTCTACTATTAATGCGAAACCATTAGAAACAAAAAGCAAACAAAAAGGTTGATACCTTCAGTATAAGTAAGTTATAACAAATAACATACTACTTATGTATATTACATTTCTGTCAGTAAATCCCCAAAATTATTACACACTGTAGGTTTAATATTGTAGAATCATATTGTACAATACGGCCCACCTTTTTGCACTTCTGTTTGTGATAAAAATGTTTCAGTTGCTTGGAAAGTGACAGCCCTGCTGGTGTAGAGTGTGTGGCTTATGGAAGACAGTCAGTTTATAAAACTGCTATTTTTAGAAGTTCTTGTAGGGAGCACGACTCTGAAATAATAGTGCTGCTTTCAATTTCTGGCTCAGATTCACTATGATAGATGTTAGATGTGAACTGAAGATGGGTGAAAATGAATCAAAAGGTGCTACAACCAAGTATAATTTTAGGTGTGTACACCTTCTTGCAGTTAACATGTATTTTTTTCATAAAAGTGTTAGATTTTACTTGAATTGTGTCAAAGAAAATAATCACAATATCCATTTGAAAGATTAGATAGGACATACATTTTTATAAACTTAAAAACAAGCTTAACAAAACTTAAACGTTCAATGCTATAATGTTAACCATATATGCACATGTATTCTGTGAAACTCACTGAAACCCTAGTTGTGTCTAGTTATATTTCTAAGCCCTTCAGAAACCTTCAGAAAAATAGAGCTCAAAAAGTACTTCAAACACTTCAAGCACATCTAGAAGTAGTAATGGATCAAGGAAAGTCATTACAAATTTAAAAATCATTCCACTGGACTTTTTTTCCAGGTTTAAAAACGATTATCTTCCCATCCAGGAAGCTTTTTCAATTCAAAATATCAGAAATACTGTTGAGTTCCAGGTTTTATACAGTAGCCCAACAAAGCCTTGTTTTGGCTTAGAAAACATGCAAATGTAACTGGACTAATGGGTCCACCCCTTTGGAATGTTAGGAATGGCCGTTGTTAGCATTCTTTGTCAGTCTGCAATACCAGATACTGGTCTATGTCTCTGAAAGGGGGGTTGTTAGGAGGAATTGTTGGCCTGGCTGAACAGGCCAAGGAAAGGAGAAGAGCCTCTTAAAAGAGAGGAGCCACATCACTGAAGAGCACACAAGTCCACATACATTCAGAGAAATGCTCAAAAAAGTACGCATGAAAGAAGTAAACAAAAAATTATTAACTGAATGTAAGGCAAGTCATGCCACAATGTGTCAACAGTAGTAGCTGTTCAAACATGTGCTCTCTAGTGCAAAAAGAAATAAGACACAAACAGGAAACTGTAAAGAATAAATAATCTGCCTTTTTTTTCTACCATTAGCAGCAGCTTTTCAGCTCCCTGGCTGTCAGACCGTCAATCAGACAATATCTCTAGAGAAGAGGGGCTGTTCTGGCTGTCACAGAGTGGAAACAACCATCTGCAGCGGGTACTGTACAACCAGGGTGGGTAACAACATCTAAAGATGAAAGTCGAAATGAAATCAAAGACATTGAAGCATGAAAATGTGTTGCTTTCAGGAGCAATTGTGGTCGGCTAGTAGGTTTTTGAATGGTTACCAACTTACCCCCCCCCAAGGGTAAATTCTGGCACTGGGTGTAACACAAAAGTCAGTAAACTAAAAGATGATGTCAGTAGAAAAATGTTATTTATTTTTCAATTTGTACAAAATATTAAGCACATTTCAGTAAGTGTGTTCAATACTTTTCCCCTGTGTCATTTTAATTACACATAACTTCATTCCTGGACATTTATGGTATGATTGCTCTCTATGTGTGGATAGCATGGATTGTTACATCTACATCTGGTGAAAATGTCATGTCAATAATGCCTTTAGAAATATATTTACTGAAATTAATGGTGGCGTGTTTAATACTTATTTTAACCATTTTATATTTATTATATCCCTTGTATCCATTGGAAGAGATTTAGATAAATTCTGTGGAATTTGGCTTCTGATTAGAACTGATACTTTGATCTTTTTATTATTGAATTTGGCCATATTTGAAAGTCTTAATGTAATGTAGGAACCTATCTGTTTTCACTTTTTTTTTTTTTTTTAGGATCTCAACATGAAGGTTGTGTATAACAAAGTGTCCCAGCATGTGTGCACATATGGGGATCTGTACTACAAGAGATTCGAATTTCCTGACTGTTTGCCTGGAGTTGATCCAGTTGTCACCTACCCAGTTGCTTTGAGTTGCCGCTGTGGCGGCTGTGCCATGGCGACATCTGACTGCACCTTTGAGAGCCTTCAGCCTGACTTCTGCATGAAAGAAATCCCATTTTACTATTAACATTTTGTAATATATTTAATCCTAATCATGATTCTGTTGTTTGTATACCCTGAAAAAAGTAATGCATCCCAGGAGATAATTGTGTTTCTTATCTTCAAATAAAGAAAATAAAAAAAGAAATGTGCAAATTTGAATGTTTCCCTTCCAAATAAAAATGAACAGGACTGAATATAAAATACTAGTGAATTTTGAAAAAAAAAAAACCCAACATGCTCAGACAAAAAAATTTTCAACTCAATATAAGGTAAGGACTGGTAGAAGGACTGGAGAAGTCAAACAACAGCTATACAAAGTCATGGTGCAGCACAGGAGAGCCAGTTAGTTTAGCCAAGATGTAACTGTGCACCCTAAGTCTAACAAAGAACACACCTTTGATCACCAAAATGTTCGGATTTTGGACAGAGAGAACAGGTGGTTTAAGAGAGGGGTGAAGGAAGCCTTCTTTAGTTTCAGTTACAGCACGATATCCAGATCTTGAGTTGTAAAGCAATATTACATTCTATTACAAGAGCAGATGAATAAGGTGCTTGTTTAACCGAATGTCAAACCATGTCCAAAGTAGTTGTTCATTCAAAAATAACCAGAAACACTTATTTTGATGATGAAAGCAAAGGTTCGTCCTGTTAAGCTTTTCTTTTTCCTTTTTCTTGCATCCTCTATTAATGGCCATCCTCCTTTGACCAGAAGCGTCCCTGTTACACCTAGAATCTTTTTTTATTTAACTTCATTCACTAACCCCTCTGCTGCTCTGTCTGTTATCAACTAAATCAGAAGACAGCCCTGATCGCTTTGGCCTCCCGTTTCTCTCGCTAGCAGTCAGGTGAATAGGCAGCCAGAGAGACTGAACCAGATGAGGGCCCAACTGCGAATCCTTAACTGCTATAGACCCGTTGCCCTGACATTCCCCATCATGAAGGTCCTCAAGAGAGTCCTATGGATCCAGTTAAATTAGCAAACAAGCATCTATGAACACCCCCTGCTGTTTGCTGATCACCATTGATGTGTAGTATAAAAAATGCTCTTATATACCTGCTATAGAGTGTTTCCTGGTAATTATCAATTGATTTACCCTAGGTGTGAAGATCCACATGCGTGGAAACACCTAAAACATGCAGGACAGTGGGTGCTTATCAGAATTAGGGCTGCAACTAACGATTATTTTAAAAATCGATGAATCGGCCGATTATTTTTTCGATTAATCGATGAATCGGACAAAAAATATTTTTTATATTAACCTTTTTATTTCAAAATAAACATTTTAGACAGAACAAACAAGCACACAAGTACAGGTTGCTCATTAACTGTACTGGTGCAATATGAAAAATAAATGTTTGTGTTAAAACTACACAAACTTACATGAGAAATGTGGCTGTACATCCACAAAATGTAGGGTACTTTGTTTTATAAAGTGCAAAAAAAGACATTTTTGTTTTTAAAGCCCCTAAGGGGTTCAAACAATAGGCCCCCCCATTTCAACAAATGAGTTTTTTTAGACTAGAAGAGTTCTGCCTTTTAAGACAGGAAAGTATAGCAGTTAAAGTTGCTACTTGAGAAAATACTGAACCATAGAGATAAAAATAGCCCTGTGATTCAAATTATAAATTGTATTTGGAATAAAAATTAGAGAACTAGGGGTGCTAAAAAACACATCCTCCAAAGACAGATATTTACATGGGAATGTGGCATATAATTAATTGACATATTACTGATCTTGCTGGATTTTATTCTGCTTTACTTCCATAAATTGCAGGATCTTCTTTACTTTATCTTTGCCAGAAGATTTAAACTTTAAAAGCCTTGCCCTCATAATTTGCAAGTTAATTTATTTATAAAGTAAATATAAATGCTGCTTAAGCTAATTCACATGAAATTAAAAGTAAAATAAGAAGCCAACCTTAGCACTGTCTGTAACCTACTAACAAGGTAAGGAAAGCATCAGATGAGCTTCATGAGAAACTAACGTTACGTTTCCCCACTTTAAAACGAAACAAACATGGTAGTTCCGTGCCATGTTAATTTGTTTTGACAAAAGTTGCATGTTACGACTTTTTTCACTTTACAAAGCGCAGGCTATTTTAATTATTGTGATCAATTTGCGCCGTCAATCCTGGCGCATGCAGTCCTGCGGCTCTGACTGCAGCGCTGAGAGGGACTACTGTGGAAGCGGGAAAACGGGGTTGGGATGGGGGAGGCGCCCCACAGTGACACCGTAAAAAGTCGCCAGATTTGTCGCTAGTCGCTTTTTTGAAAAATAGTCGCTGGAGGGGTCTGAAATGTCGCTGAGTTGGCAACACTGTACCTGCGGCGCTGACTCTCTCTGTATTTTTTTTTTTCTTCCCCCGTTTCAGTCAAGTGGATGTGATGACGGCGGCGGCGGATGACGCATTAATCGCGCGACACAACTAATCGATGATGAAATTCGTTGCCAGTGCTTTTAAAAGTCGATTTTTATCGATTTTATCGATTCGTTGTTGCAGCCCTACTCAGAATGTTCTTTGATTACCCCAAATCATTTAACCAAAAATCAGCAAGATTTGCTTTGTCCAAAAATGCAGAAAACTCAAATGGAGGCTTTAGTTATCACCTGGTGTCTAGTCTGCTGCACAGTAGCACAAGGGACTGTACTCTTACCCCTTTCTCATTCCTAACATCTAAGACTTCCAGTAGAGAACAGACTACTGTAATTTGCAGAAATTATCATATAACTGCAGTTGTTGGGTGTATCTGAGATGGACAATAGCTGAGTATAGAGAGCTAGTGGCTTGATTCATTGCATGGTGTAGAAACAATCATTCCATCCCGATTGTGAATAAAACAAGAGAGATTGCTACAGATTTAAAGAGAAAAGGGACTGGTCCAACAGTGTCACCATCATGTGGAGGAGTATAAAAACCTGTGTTCACCTTCACAATAGGCTAGACTATTGTCAAGCAGCAGCAGCGCCAGCAGTAGTGCAGAGTACATCTTTAAATGTAAGTAGTTTGTTTTTTTAACTGAACATCTCCTAAAATACATGACGTAACGGAGCACTGGAATGTGTAGGACCAGCTAAAGCTTAGAGCTAACCTGTTGATACGACACGCTTATCAACATTAAAAGCCTTCATACAAATTTTAACCTACATCTTATTGTAACTGTGCTGATAGCCGTATCCATCACAAATCGGATCAATTTATTCTTATACAGTTTATTACAAAGGATTAGAACTGTTAAAGCTTAATGCACATGAAGAAAGTTGATAAAACAACCACCTCTTTATCGGGGCCAAAAATACTGCTGCAGTCGATGGAGGGAAGAGTTGAGGCAGAATTCCATATGCATGTTGCATTTCTATGTAAAAGTCATACAAGTTAAAAGAGTCCTGTTCAAACACCAACGTACAAATATAATCTTTTGATCACGTCAAATGATGCCCAGATGCCACTTTTTGTAAATCTTATATTTGTGATATATTATATTCAGGTTAATTTACACTTTGAGTAAGCTTGAAAAAAGTCATCTCCAAGTTACCATTCCAAAGTCGTCTCTTTTTCATCAATCCATCCAGTTCATGAAGCACTCCTTTTTTCTAGCCTTAAAGAAACACTACAGAAAATTGCATCTTTTGACACAATTGTTTTCCTGTACTTTAGGAATGCAAAGGTCCAGTGACAGGGCAGAGGGTCAGTGGGAAGCCTACTGCTGCCACCTGGCACTGGTTTGTCCTCATGGATGAGGTATTAGGACAGAGGCCCTCTATTGCCCCACCTGTCCTCCACACCAGGGCCAGGTGCTGCAGAGGCTGAGCAGCATCAGGTTGAAGATGAGGAAGACAATGAGAGGCCAGGAGAGAGGAGGGAAAGGAGGAAGAGAAGGAGTGACGAGTTGGTGGATTTAATCAGGGAGGATATCAGATGGCAGAGGGAGGCAGAGGAGAGAAGAGAAAGAGAGAGCCGGGAAAGGGTGGAAAGATTATTTAATTTATTGGAGAGGATGGTAGACAGACATTATTTTTGAGTTGAGGATCTGTGTTGCTGTTATTGTTAAATTAAATAATTAAATTGTTTATAAACGTTATTGTTGTCAGTGTGTTCTTAAAGTCTTTTAACCTTTTTACATGATCTGTTTCATCACTTCTTTACAATTTAAGTAAACTTAGAACAACTTCTCAGTGACAATATCAGTTTATTTTTAGAGAAGCAAGTATTTACAATAAACTATTAAAAACATTTTTAACCATTTACATTAGATTTTAAAATTAACTACTACAACTATTTACAGAAGATATAAAATAATTACTAGAGAACATATATATATATATAAAAAAAAAAAAAAAAAATATATATATATATATATATATATATATATATATATATATATATATTAGGGATGGGACGGTTTTTGAAAATCGTCCGAATCGTTCGGTTCTACTGTCTCGGTTCGGTTCGCGTGTGTTTCGTTCGGTTCATGCGCTGCTCCTATTTCTAATAGGCAAAGCGTTTACACTCCAGAACAGAAGGTGGCGGTACTGCGACCAAAGCCAACCACCAGTAGTAAACAAGAAGAAGCGAATCCGCGTAGCCGGTTGAAACAGAAAAATATCAGTTGTTGTGGAGAATTTTGTGGGTATGGCTAGTGGGAAAGAACAGGAGTTGGAAGACGCGCCAGCAGCACTTTATAGGTCTGCTGTATGGGACCACTTTTCATTTGGAGTTACCTACGATGACGGCGGAAGGAAAGTGGTGGATAAAAGTGCAACAGTGTGCAAACATTGTGCAACTCGTGTTGTTTATACTAGCAGCAACACGACCAACATGTCAGCTCACCTGCGGAGACATCATCCCAGTGAGACAGTTAGCTTTTAAGCAGACATACGGTAACGAGTCAGAAAGGGCGACATGCATAACTAAAGGAGTGGGATATTTCATCGCCAAAGATATGCAGCCTTATTCCGTAGTGGAGGGTGCGGGATTCCGTTCTATGATTAAAGCACTGGAGCCACGATATAAAATCCCCTCCCG